AGTCACAAACCCTCAAAGTACACCCTGTAGACACAGAAAAGACCTGTCTATGCTGCCCCAGAACGCCTCTCGTTGGGAATTTATCTTTTTCCATTGTTTACTTCTTGGGTATAGTGACGTATTTCGGGTATAGTGACGTTACATCCGCGGAGCCGTTACGTTTGGACCAATCCGCGGACTTCCTCACACACACACACACTCGGCGGGACGTTGCGAGGCTCGCTGCTGCGAGGAGCGGGACACTGTGAGCTGGCTCACTGGTGTGGGGTCGGCGAGACACCGCAGAACTCAGCCCGAGCACACACACAAACTCCCAGCCAGGCTGCGGGTGTGTGTGTGTGTGCGCCAGGCTGAGTTCAGCTGTGTCTCGCTGTCTCGCAGACGGCCACTGGGCGAAGTTTTACGGCGTGGTTTGCAATTCGCCTAGCTAATCAGAAATTGGAACCTTTTCCTCCCCAGGAAAGTACCACCTCTCTAGCAGGAACTATCTGTGGGTGAAAAGTAGGGATGGGTATCGTTAAGGTTTTAACGGTACTACTACTTTTATCGATGCCGCTTATCGGTCCGGTCTTTTAACGGTACTTTTATCGGTTCTTTTAAAGACCGGACCGATAAGCGGCATCGATAAAAGTAGTAGTACCGTTAAAACCTTAACGATACCCATCCCTACTTTNTGAGCTTCTTGCGGCTGCCGAAATTGCTGCTCAAATTATTCATCTCAGCGCGATTGATCGGCAAATCACACCATTTCTCACATAAGTGTGCGAGCGCGAGAACAATGCAGTGTTTCAATACTATATCTGGAATGACATTTGTGTGTTTATAGCAAGAGATTAAAAACATTGACACAGTGGTCACGTGAGGCGCCTATAATATCTGCTAGCTAGACAGTTACAGCAAATACGGGGGGAGATGCGTCTGCGGCCCTGCGTGATATTTTGGGGTCAAGTTGACCCACTTATCACAGAGCCTTATACGCAAACCCGTCCCCAACCACGAAGAAGGGTTTGTATAGGTAGAAATGTAGACCTGGGTCTTCCTGGCGATGCCATGCACTGGTGATGATGGAGGGGGTGAATTACCAACACAGATAATGTGTCCAAAACAACCAGGAACTGCGACGGGCCAAATACAATGTGGTAGTTAAAAAATTAAGCATCTCTGTCTTATTTGACACAGGGGTGGAGTCAACAACAATGTTAGGAGCAGCTCTAAGGGCGAGAGCTGGCGAGAGCGGATGCTCTTATGCGTGGTGCCAAATCTCCTAGGATCGCTTAACTGTCTGGGATAAGGTAACAAATCCGCTTTCTGGCTTTTTTTAATGGAGGCAGTACAGCAAAAGCTGAAAGGTGATTTAACCAGCTTGATTTCCCCGCAGGTACTCGTATTATGTTCAATACAACTTGAGTACAAATGATTATAATTAAACTGTTAAATACCAAGGCTACTCTGACCTTGAAGCAGGGCGCTGGAGTCTGGTAAATGCTTTGGCTAACTTGTTGTATGACTGTGTTGTGATTGTGTGTTTTAAAATAGTCTGTAACTGTGCCGTTACCATTCTTGGGCCAGGACTCTCTTGAAAAATAGATTTGTAATCTCAATGAGACCTATCATGGTTAAATAAAGGTAAAAACAAAAAAAACAAAACAATGAGCAGTCAATATACCAAATAGTCTCCTCACAAACAAGCCAACACAAACACTGTCTCCACACACACATCCTTAGACAAGAAGGAAACGGTGGGCTTATTCAATTAGATACTGTCATGTTGTGTAGCAAAAACGATTGAGATGAACCCTGGAGAAGAAAAACAAAGGCTTAGAGCTGCTTACTACTCATCAGTAAAGTGTCTAAATAGGTCATATGTAAATAAGTACTGACTGAGTCCAGATGTTTGTGAACACCGTTGTTTATTTCTCTCTCTCACACAAACTGTAATTTTTGTGTTGTTCAGTCCTCCAGTTTAGTTAAGAAATCAATAAACAAGTATCTTTTTTTCAACTATCTTCTACCATGTTAAGGAATGAATGTTGTAGAAGTGCCCAAAGGCTTTATACTACTTATTTCCATCAAATGCAGAAGTACTCACTGATCCCTGCCTACAGTCTGATGTGTGCAATCAGGGTTACCTTTTGACATGTAAAACAGCTTAGACAATTGGACATCATCATATATAAAAATATTTTTATTTAAAAAACAAGAACCTTAATAACAAAACAAGATTAAAATCTCAAATTTACAAAAGGCAATCGTGAAACGTATCGATGCAAAATAAACTAATTGCACTTTAATCAATGATTGTATAGCATATACTTGATTATAAGGCAGAATCTCAATCTACAGCTTTTTGAACACATTTAAAAAGACACATCATTTGTTGATCAGTTTCAGCTTTGTTGCACATTATATACTGTATTATCCTCTTAAAAACCTGAGCATCAGTTTAAAATGTGCAGATTTTAAATACCAGCATTTTGAATATTTCTCTAGTCTCTTTAAATAGATATAATTATATATCTTTATCTTTACTGAAGGAGGGAGGGTTTGCATAAAGGACTGTTGATATTTCAACATGTTACGGAATTCAAATTTCTTTAAATGAGTTTGAAAAGGAAAGAAATATCTGCTCAAATAAATTGTTATCATTGGTAATATTGCATCCCGAATGACCCAAACACATACTTATCACCTCCCCCCACAGATTGCAATATGACCGATACGAAGCAGCATTTGGATTTAGAGGAAACCTCCATCACACAGTATTGCATGCAGTGTGTAAGAGGCATGCTTACATGGCTAACTCCATTATATGACCTGAAAATGTTTACAGCGTAGGCACAAATCAAATCCGCCATAATTTACTGAAATTCCATTATAACAGAATGCATCAAACTGAAAAATAAACATAAAAAGTGACATATAGGAATGGTTAATGAATAGAGGATTTTTTGTCTGGATATACTGTATTGAAAAGTCATTACTAACTTATACATCCTTAACAGTACATTCTTGCACCGTGAGGTCTTAGCTACAGAAATAAAAAGACTAAAACTAATTTGAAGCCTTACTGATCAGCTGACCTCCATAAGGCAAAGGAAGCACCAGTGGCCACATGAATTATAAAGTGCTATTGTCGGAGACGTTGCTCTGTTTCACTTGCAGATGATTATTTGGCCTCCACAAAGAGCAGGAAGCGGTTCTGCTTCGTCCTTCACAAAATGTGGTCCCTGGGTCTTTGGTTTGAAAATAAACAGACATTGCTACACAAAGAAGCCGTTGTTAGAGACGCTGTTTTTATCGACACCTCACTCTCCCACAGTTGCAGGACTGAGTGATGTTTTTTGTGCATTTTGGGTTTTCCACTGAATATTTACTAGCGTCACCTCTCACGTCACAGTTCAGCTCCAGTGTCTTTTATCTGCTTTGGTTTTCTGATGCTTCTATCATGGCTCTGAATCTTGAGTTTTCGTCTGCCAACAAAGAAGTGGGGCTGTCGAACTCCAAAATCTATGATGATGAAAAAGGATAAAACGCCATCAGTGCCAGCATATCAAAAGTCAAATCAGAAGTTCAGCTAGCTCATTCCATGAAGTTTTAACAGAGAACAAAAATCACGGCATATTTGTTTCTCTAAGGATAATGCAGGCAGCGTATGAAAATAATTCAAATGTCTGGAAAATATTGACTGCAGACAGCTTTGTTATGCTTGGTGTATGACGCAAGTGTCCAAATGATTTTTAAAAAAGGACTTTACACTCAAATGTTTATTCTTTTACATCTCACAATACAGACAAACAAGGATAAGTTGATGAGCAACACATTTAGAGCTTGAATTAAAAACTAAGTTGTCACGGCTACATGGTTAACACCATAGCAAACTGAGCTGCAGCCATTAAAGCTGAATAAATGCTGCTTAAAGCAATCGATTACAGAAATAAGACCATTTAGGGCTATCTCAAGATAAATAAAATAAGTCAACTTCATTAAAGTCTGTGTAAAAACGGCCTTTTTACTGGCACATAGAGACCGTAGAGCTTCATGGTAAAAAATTAGGGGTTCATTACAGCCTGAGCCTTGTCTATGGGGATGCATCCATCACTTTAAACTCTTCAGATTGATGAAGCCTGAGAGAGGCTCATTCAGCCTATTAACAGGGTTAAAGGGTGTCACTGAAGCTGTAATCATTTGCGTGCATCTCATGTTTGCATCAAATGTCAGCTTTCATACACAACGTCTGAATAAAATGTGCGCTGCCTGATCCAATCCATCACCTCGCAGGGGGCAATCCACACAGTAAATCAAGTGTGTTTCAACCTGGGAATGAGTTTCAACCGAGGGGCCCTACAGTGCAATCATCCAATCATGTTGCATTTATACACACCTGGCCGTTGTCCAGGACCATGACCCTGCTGCAGCTCATCACAGTGTTCAGACGATGGGCGATGATGAGGGTGGTGCAGCTGCCAAACGCACAGCGAATGGTCTGCTGGATGAGGCGGTCCGTCTCAGTGTCGATGGCTGCTGTTGCCTCGTCTAAGATAAGGACCTAAAAACAACAAAAACGAAAAAACAGCAAATGTTACATTAATAAACAAAAAAAGAGGAGGTTACATTATCCAACTAGAGACGTGGTGTTGGTGCCTGTGTTTGCTGTATTCATAATACAACAAGTTATATTCTGTATGCCTTTCCATGTTTTACCAGTGTATGAGGTGCAGTTCTGGTGTCGACCACTAGGTGACAGTGTTAACCCATGCACTGACACATGCACACCATACAGGGAAGTTGTTTTTTCTTGGTATAAAGTAAACTGAGGGTAACATCTTACTGGAGCTGCCATAATCATCCGTGTCAAACAGTGTCCCACGTTAATGTGAGCTAGTGGTATTAAAGCAGCATTATATAATCAGCACCTTGCTGTTGCGCAGCAGGGCTCTGGCCACACAGAGTAGCTGTCGTTCCCCCACTGAGAAGTTCTCTCCGTTCTCCGTCACCTCTGAGTGGAGCGTGTGAGGCAGTTGGCTGATCTGAGGAAGGCCGAAAGGTGGTGTAAAAGCAAATGTTAGGGGCTTATTTTATTAAAGTAATGCATCATTTGTTGTAACGGGACAATGTGCAGCCATCTTGTCACTTACCATCTCTTTAATATGCGTCTTCTCTAGAGCTTCCCATATCTGCGAATCGGAGTACTGATCCCATGGGTCTAAATTGGTCCTAATGGAAAGAAGATATCGTTGTGATGGTCATTAACTGGATTAAACATTATGACAAATTCCCATTAAGAGCTGCGATGCAATAAACTGATGAGGCTGCACTCCTTCCCCTCAGATCACTTAACGCAGAGGTTATAAAAGCAGTGTTGATGTTTTGTTTGTCTTGCTGTCAAATTGAGCGTATCTCTTTTTTCATTTCCCATGCCTAGCACCATTTTTGTTTCTGCAGTGATTTCCCGGTGGTGCGGCTTTACATTCACGCTAATAGATACATCGTCCATATCATTATAGTCCCAAATCCCTGCCAGACTCATACTCAGTTAAATGGTATCCAGTACAAAACAAACATCTCTAGAGAAGCTATTTTCAGGCAAATAGTAGTCATATGGGTAATGTATTCAAACAGGATCACAGGCACTGATGAGCAATATATTCTGCTTATTGACGTAAGAAAAGCATTTCTTTGCTGTGGTTTGATCTTTGAGGTGAAACTGTTGCTGATATCTTTGCCAGGACTGCTTTTTAAAAGATGTTTTGAATCTCAACGGAAGTACGGTCTCTCAATCAAAACAAAAGCTGGGAAAACATGAATACATACATTACGTTTTTAATTACTGTCAATATCTATATGATGCAACACGTATATATATGTTGCTATCAATATGTTGAGTTGCTATCTTTTGCTGCGTTGCTACCAGGTTGCTACGTGTATATCTTGTGTGCTGGCTGTGAAAAAACCACTCTAGGAGACGACATCTTTATTTAATCTAATTATTCCCTCGGCTCTGCTTTTTATATTTTTCAAAGCAGGATTAGTGCATCAGTAAAACAGCTTGTTGATATAAGTGACTGTCTTTGGATTACCTGACTGTCCCGATGAAGAGTACCGGCTCTTGAGGAATGATGGCTAGCTTGCTTCGCAGATCATCCAGACCAATCTGTGCAATATTGATTCCGTCAATGATAATCGAGCCTCCAGTCAGCTCCACGAGTCTGAAGAGAGCTACGCCCAGAGACGACTTTCCTGCAAACACACAGAGAAAAGCTACAGTGAGAAGGAATGTGTGTTCACGTTGAAAAAATACATGTAACGACGAGCTGCAAATTCTGCTGGCTGGGGGACAGAAAGGGTCACTTGGGATCATACCTGATCCCGTACGGCCCACAATGCCGATGGTCTCTTCCGACCCGAGGGTGAAGGACAGATTTTTCAGCACCAGCGGCAGATCCTCACGATAACGCATCTCTACATCCTGGAAGGTGATGTTCCCCTGCTGAGGCCAGGAGGGGGCAGGAGCATCTGCTGAGGGACTTTGTCGGGGGGCTTCACTCTCGAGAGTCTGAGATAAGGAACGGAGATGGTATCTGGTATTAATCTCTAAATCTCTGTTGAGGTGCAAGCTCCCTAACTGATTTGATCTCAAGGAGCTTTTGTCTGCACTTGAAATGAAGAAAAGAAAAAAAAAGAGACTTGATATTCGTATCTTTGTTGTTTGATGACTGTGGTGTGAAACAAGCCCTGTCATGTGCTCTGGAGTGTGTTAAGACCTCACTCTGGGTTTCTATCTGCCTCCTGCTGTGTTTATTACACATACACAATCAAGTGCACACAAGAATACACACACACAGACGTGAAGACATGCCAGCTAACATGGTCTGTTATTCTGAGCTATTCTGAGCCGACTGGGATTCAAGACAGTATACCAGTCTCTGTGAACATATACTAAACGCTCCACCTTACTCATCGATGCTCTTACATTTATATAATGATCGATCCTCTCCACTGATGTAAAGCGAGCTTCGGTCTCTGTGAGCAGCCGCACGGTGAACTGTAACAGGCCGTTCAGCTGGGGAGAGAAAAGAGAGGTGGGAGGTTAATGGTTAAAGGTCCCATGTCAAGGCCATTTCTACTGATCATAATTCCATTGTTGAGGT